AAGTGCAGGCCATTTACAACCCTATTAGCGTGAAGGAGAGACTATCTCTGTCACGAAGATTGATGTTCCCCCCTCGCTTATCAAATGCTTTGATTTATCAGCAAAAGCCTTCAGGAGAGATACATGTGTACGTAAGTCTTGTTTGCTGATTCGAATCTTCATGGAGCTCACCAGCTGCACGGGTTGTTCCAAAGCTGTCCTCGTACCCACGCTCGCTCAGTGACAGCGGATTTATTTCGAATATTGTCGTCCTCCTGGCCAATTGACGAACGGAGCTGCTCATGTAGCAACGGGATGCTCCGTTCGTGGTCTCTGAACCCTGCGTTATTGCTGTCTGTCTGTCTGGCGCGTGATGATGACAGATGACTTTATTGGGGGGAGTTGCATGTTCGCAATTTGGAGCTGGGACTTTCCATTCGTCATCGGACTGGAGCAATCACAATGGAAAATGTTTGTGAACACTCTTGACCTTTTTTTTTTTTTTTGCCGTTATTTTTAACGGCAAAGATAAAGATATGGTTATCGTTGCGCGCGCGCGTGCGCACGCACACACACACACACACACACACACACACACACACACACACACACACACACACACACACACACCTCTGTCAGTTTTGATAAATAAACAATAACATTAAGACAAGACCAAACAGTTTCAAAGGAAGGAAATTATTATTCTTCCCCCCCCCCCACACTCCTCACTTTGGCCACAGCAGATGATTTAGGGAGAAGTTATTGGACAAAGGGGGGTTTGAGTGGCGAGCTTGCTGAGAGGAAACATATCTGTCCTTGGGCGAAGGGACAGAACACAGTGCTGCCTTTATTCGGAGTCTCGGCCCTGTCGTTAAGGACCGATGACACACTCCTCCAGGTCCACATTAATCTTTAACAGTGTGATTTCTAAAATAACACCAGTGTTTTCCCGAAGGCACGCCGTGAAAGAAGGGCCCGTTCAGTCCTTTCCCGCCAACACCGTCGCAAAAGCAAAACGGGGGGCGGTAGAAACGTAATTAACAACTCAGAGGCTGAATGTAGACCGGTGGGAGATAATTGGGAGCGGCATCAAAAGCTGAGTTGACCTGACGTGTTCATCACTGACAGTGGCAGCTCCGGTGGCTCCCAAACAGCACGCATTAGTGTTGTTAACAGTGTTATCACAGGGCCGCTCTGGGCCAGATAAAAGCCGGCGCTGCCGATGGGCCTTCTGCGAGCGAGGGGCCGAATGCAGACGCATGAACAGAAAGGGGGGCGGGGTCGGTAGGCCCGCCGCCGCTTAAATGACGGTTGGCGATATAGAGGCTGAAAAAACAGTCTTATGTAGACAACTAATGTGTGTTTAGCAGCAGAAAAAGGATAGCGCCACGAACACTGTTTTGGTTTTGGGGCCCGGTCAGGAATCTCTCAGTTCATATCTGGGTCCAAAGGGCGAACTTGGCCGTGACTATTTCGCAGCACGATAGTGCCGCAGACCTGGCGGTTTCCAACATGACAAGCCAAGGGGCCTTGTGAGGCACAAAGAAAGATGGAACATTTGGTCCGATTGTTCTGACAGGTAGCTGGTAGGAAAACGATCAACACATCCCCCCCCC